GGACAAAATGTCAATAGCGCCTCCGCCTCCGCCTCCGCCTCCGCCTCCGCCTCCGCCTCCGCCTTGGCGATTTGCTCTGCTGTGACAAGAGACAAGACTGAACTGACGAGGCATCGATGTGATGCTCATCACGATACGACTCGCACCGCTAACGACCGCTAGCCGTGGCGTGGCCGTGGCGCAGTACCGTAGCGCGTCGTCGGGCCGCTTCATTTTGGCACTTGGAATGCTTCGCGAGTCGGAGTCATCGACGAGTGATGCACCATCACCACCAATATCCTCCATCCATATCCTCCATCCATATCCTCCATCCATATCCTCCATCAATATTCTCCATCAATATTCTCCGCCTCATTCCCACTCCCCGCAGCGGATCCAACGCTGCCGCGCCGCCGCCGCCGTCTCGATCGCTAAACGGCATCGTGACGTTGCCGTCGTCGCAGCTATCAGTCCAGCGGGCTCATAGTTGTCATTGATAGACAAAGCTATAGACAAAGTAGATAAAGGGAGAATGCGGGCCCATTATTGAAATTGATAGACCAAGCTATACACAAAGGAGACATACGGAGTATGGAGCCATCCTATTGGTTGAAATGGGTGGTTCCCGTAGACTAAGGGAACAAATGATGCACTAACTACCGGGTCTCTCGTGGGTTGTCGTTAGTTAGTCCATTACCTACCTCCTTTGTCCACTGCAACCACTTGCTTCCACCAATATGATTCCTCCATATCTCTTCTTTCTCATTTGTCTATAGCTTTGTCAATCAATTTCAATAATCGAATAATGAAACGAGAAAATTGGTTGAAACGAGTCTACAGCAAGAACAGCCAACAGCCTAACAGCATTGTGAAGTTGCCGTCCTCCCAGCTAGCGCAGTTGCCGGCGGTCTGATTCTTGAAATTGTGAGACAAAACTATGGACAAAGGGATATTGGAGCGATCACATTGGTTGGAACGAGTGGTCTTGCAGACTAAGAGGAATAAAATAGTGGAATAACCATACAGGGTCTCTTATGGAATGCCGTTAGGTAGTCAATTACTTACCTTCTTTGTCCATTACAACCGCCAGCCTCTACCAATAGGAACGCTCCATTTTCCCCTTGTCCTCTTCGTCAATCGCTGTGTCTATCAATTTCAATAATTAGCCCGCTAAAGTCTGAAAGGAGATCGCAAAAAGTGAATCAATTACTTTTCATTGACATCTGACAGTCTCCTCAATCTTGACTCTTAGCAAGCACATAGTCGAATGAGAATTTCAGTCAGTCAGTTATTCCTCTCATCTGATCTCTGATGAATAAACAATGACTTTCATACTATGCATGATGAATATTGAATATTCTCATTCTAGACCAAAGGTACGCTGTAGCAATGTAGCATAGCCCGTTGCGATAGTGACACGCGGAATCGGTCTAGCGTAAACTTTAATCTTTACGTCTCAATCTTTTACTACCGCGTAGCTTGTTTCATTTCATCGTATCTGCTTGTAGATTTCAATTTTCTGCAGCTGTTCCGTGCGTATCATAATTTTTAAATTTTGACTGGAAATCAAAATTTTCATTGTTAAAACCTTGCAATGGACTGCTAATTAGACCGCACGATGCATCATTTGTACCATCACCTCACGTAGTGCGCAGCCATTCTCACAAAGTTTTTTTTTCGATTTTTCCCAGCCATTTTCACCAGAAAAATGTGTCAAAAACAGGCTTGGGCTTGAGGACTGCGGCTCGTAGAATTGCTATTAACTCCAAACTCCCAACGATGGGACTCTATAATTATTGTTGAGCAATATTAATCAGGATAATTGAGTTTGCGTACGTACCCTATCATCCTAGGTGAATTGAAGTGTATTATAATCGAACATATTTAATTTCGTTTTTCCATTTTGAATTAGGATCGTAGTATTTTGAAAACCGATCCTGATTGGCACGTAGCCTCACTCTCGACAGGCCCTCCATAAGAAAACTGGTTTACAATTCGAATTATTAAGTAAGCGGGGTCCTCCTTGCCAGGAATCAATTTGGACTACATCTTGCTAGTTCTCTTGTCATGGCATTACCAACAGATGGAAATTTTAGGGAATGGAAAGGCTTAAAGTCATGATTGGTGGTTTAAAACTTACAGCAATCAACATCTCCTCTTTTGAATATGAAAAATGTCGTTACATTCATGTGGAAAGGGCCAACCGGCGAAGAAACAATAAGCGAGAGAGAATTCTGAAATACTGTTTTGCATCCAGATTACTTTTGCGAAAGTAATGGCTATGCCCATGTTCCACATTTATAGCAAATCTGATGGTCTGTGTGCCCTGAAATGCTGCTTCACAGAGCGATGAATAAAAAGAAGATGGATAAAACATTGCATAAGATATTGCAAATCGTAACTCATGAGCAAATATAGAGGTGACTCATTTCGGCAGGCTGGGGCTCCGGCTCCCGCCGCGCCGGTAGTTAGGTTAGGTTCGCATGTCGGGATGGCGGAGGGAGAGGGGGAGGGGGCATGTGGGCCCAACGATATGCCGAAGGCATTGGGCGTCATACCTGCTTTAAATGTGTGAGAGGGCGTCTGAGCAGCCGCGGCGCGGCGGCGTCGCGTCGCAATGTGGGCGCAGCCCTCATTGCCGAATTTTCAATTAAAATGACTTTTTCCGGTGGATTGGAGTTATGAAGAAATGCGCTTGGAGGCTCTGCTTGTAGTTGGGTAGATCCTCAGTTGTCTCAATTTAGGTTGCTCGTCGGATTTGTAGCGCATGACGGAGGAATATAACTCGAGGACTCGGGCTGGAGCCGACAACCGGGGCTCAACTTGAATCCTGGCAATGCTGGCAATGCTGGCATCCTTTGTCCACGCGGACGTGATGGACGTGATGGACGTTGCGGGCGACCGGCGACCGGCGACACCGGCGCGGTGACACCCGGTGTTGAATATTCAAATCCAATCGGATCCGAGGACTCGCAAGTTTTTCAAAGTCAAGAGTCAGCCTCGAACGATGCTCAGTGTTGCATTGTTCAAGTGAGGACGCTTTTGAATTGTTCACTCCTGACGAGGGCTCAAGACGCCCTGTGACCCATGTGCCACCGAGAAATGGACTCTATGCCCAATGTTGGAGGCCATGAGTCAAAGCCAACAGGTACCAATTCGAAGAGGGGCGTAACCACCGAAAGCCCTGTTTTGAGGAAGCATGAAAAACCTTCATTTCTTCGACAATTTGTTATATTTCTGTTTGAAAAATTAACCTATGTTCCACGTACCGTCACACATACTTAAGACCTCACGATCATACTAGGGTGGTTGGAGGGTTTGAGCTAGAAATAACAGATTTTGAAATTTTTGCGGGTGCGCCCTTTTTTTCACAAAACTGCTCAGCAATGCCATTTTTAGCATTAGTATGAAAGTTAATGCCTGCGTGTCCGATGACAGCGTCATATATCATAGTTCGCGCCATTTCTCATGGTTTTCTCACGGAAGAACTCCCTGCGCTGAGAGAGGTAGCTCGGATATGAGGTTCTTCTACTACTGAAGCAGGAATTCAATTCATTCTCTCAGAGAACAGGCAGCGTAGCCCTCTCTTGTTAAGAGAAGGTGTTGGTAAATGACAAGACACATAAGATGCGTCCAGCCTTAAAAATAGTATTCCGCTGAAAGCTTGATTTCTGAAAATTTAGCGGTTACCTATGTCTTTTTTCACACGTTCAATTATTGAAGGTTCACAGATTTATTGTTATTTTTTATGCGAAAACACGTTTGTTTTAGCGATGTTGTAGACTTTCATTTAGATTACATTTTCCATTTTCCCCCAAATCTATACACCGAATTATTTTTTCTCCGCCATGGTGGTGAATGCCCTTCGTTCGCAGTTGATGTTGAGATTTCTCATTAGGCCTCTCGAAAGCTGGTCGATTGGAGAAATGGGGCACGTTGGAAATAAAATCACTTTGCTGTACGTGCTTCTTTTTTGTCATCAAAAACGAACAAAGCATCCTGATGACATTCAGCGACTGGTTTTGGTTTTATGAATACAATTTTACACCTTCCCATGCAGCCCATTCTTCTTTCCCTGTCTTTGAATTTCCTCAATTTTAATGATCGGCTTGTCTGAAAACTATCCAAGATAATTCCTTTTTATCGTCGAAAGCCTCTCAACGGTAACTTTTAATTGCAGAAAATACGACGCGGCTTAACCGAGCAGTCCTTTAATTATGATTCATAAGCCGTCTATAGGCAGCCTCAGTATGCACAAGCGTTCCTCTCCTTTGAACCCTCAAGGTGGGCTGAAATTAAAGTCGAAAACAAAATTAGCCGAAATTTTCAAACTATCGACAGGGGGTGTGTAAATGCCGTACTCCAGAGGGGCCTCTCCAGGCAATAAAAAAGCCTGGGCCATAATAAACACATTTTAACGCTGGAGCTGGCTCATTCAGCGATCGTTAAGAAATCGTGTAAATCAGCCTGATAAGTCTCCGGATTCGGATCCGGAGGTAATAAGAATACAAACAAATCAAAGAAATCAGAAACCTTGGTTATGACACGTCAAGTTTCCAAAAACCAATAAGAATCCAGCTCATTCCTCTTCCATTAAGAAAAATAAAATGCCATGCCGAGAAAAATCATTTTTGTTGAAAATATTGCATACAATGAAAATAAACGATTCTGTCATCAACAATAAACAGAAGCATTTTATGGCGACTAGTAAACTCTTGTCACAACTATTTATCGTTACTACAATATGTAGTTTCCTTGATGATACAAGTACTTGCCGCAGTGAAATGAAAACTGCTGAGAATACGCTTTTCTTGCCATAATTCTTATTGTATGGAACCTTAGAATGGGCGCAGATCAGAACTAAATTTTTGTCAAGGCTTGCTTGTGTACGCACATCGCACACACTCCCTTTAGTATTCTTTTACAAATTTTCACGGAACGTGCAATCTATAGTACAAGTTTTTGATTTTTTTATTCTAAAATAACGGTTAACTTACTGGTACACTTTTCCTCTGTTGCAGATTTCCTCACAAACATGCCCGAGGAATAAAGAGGATTCAAGAGGTATGTAATTGATATGTTTCTCAGTTTGTGGGTAATGATAGTGCATGGGGTTCTATATAAGTCATGCAGTTAGGACGATGCGGAAGCCAGGTTGCCAAATGCACTTTTTCCATGATACTGACAATGATTTGTTTCTCTAATGTCAAATCAAATAACTTCAACCAAGGGCCATTCTACGAACACCGCTCACTAAAATGTTGTATTTGAAATAATCATGAGAGGCTTCGCGGCGTAATTGCTGTATCAAAAATTCCGAGTAAAATTATGCATATTAAGATAGCGCCCAAGATGTTTTCGTTTCCTATTTTTAAATACTTATTATGACTTTATGCACTTTATTGAGTTTTTTCTCTAATAGAAACTATCCTTGAGCCTCCGCCCTTTAGTTCAAGAATTTTTTTCAATTGAGAAATTTGCAAATTCCACGTTGAATAGAGTTGATGAGTGCAATAGTGTATATTTTTGTCAATTTTTGCACACAATTATTGCACCTTTGAATTAGCGCGGATCCCTTTTTTCGATTTTCAATTGAAGTAGGAATTTGCGTGTTGTCAGGAACTTTTTTTAGCAGAAAATGAGGCGATTTGCGGATGCTAAATAATATATATTCTCAACGAGAGTTCCATCAACAGAAAGCGAATATCCGAGTAGTTTAATTGCGAGGAAAATCAGGAAACTCGCGAAAAAATGAAATGTTTTTTGTAATATTTGAAAAGTTATCATTTGAAAATCACCAGTGTCTCTCAGATGTCTCATTTTTACCTTCTTACCTCGGTCACAGGAAGACAAGATAAACTTTTAATGCGTATAAGAAAAAAATGTTTCTATTGGGTTACTGCCATTTTGTAAACAATCCGAAGTAAGACAACCTGTGATTGATATGACGACGGAGGCTCTAAAATCTCGCAGGAATCGAGGTTTTTGACCTCGATGTCAGACGAGTCACGCTTTAAATAATCGAGCCCGGTTCTCTCTCCTGAATAGTCGACCTAGAATTCCCTAATCCTTGTACCTTCAAACATCTCGAAATGATTCACTCGCAGAAGAAGAAAATCAATCCGTGACAAAACAATACGCTCTTCGCCAATGTTTTCTCCAGGTTGCTTCTCTTTTCATTCATAGGAGCATAGGCATCATGCAAAATTTTGTCGAACTTTTCTGACATGTATTCAATCCGGGTCTGTGAGATCGAACGTTTTTAAAACGTCTTTAGCATCCCGGACAGTTCGGGTCGAGAATCTAATAAGTCTCAAATTCGGAAAATCTCAGGCACTTAAGGCGAAAAGTGATCACACTTAGGTTGTGTTTGATAGGGCGGCTAGCTACATAACATTTTCACAAAATGATTACAAATTTAAATTCCACATATTAGTGACTCTCGGAAGTTGGCAACACCATTTTTCGTCCTCAAACTATAAATAGTCGATGCCCAGGCAGGTAGTCCGCCGTGGCAATTTTGAGAAAATGTCGATCTGCAAATTTTTTTCGAATTTCACATTCATGCGCATACAGAATGGGGACGCCATTAGCAGGAATAGTTTCTGGAAGGGAGTTGCGATTCTAGGACCGAGAGCGCCTGCAATTTTTTATGCATGCAACACGGACGTCCTTTGAGCACAAACAGTTGCATCCTGGAGTTGTGAGTCAGGAGCATAGAGCGCTTTCAATTTGTTGTGTGTATGCGACTGCGGATTAGTTGCAGCAAGGAGTTGTCAATGAGATATCAATCAGTGCTCTTCTGTTTCGAAAAGTTTCATTGAAATACGTCGATTTAACGCTTTCGGCAGACAAGGTCCGAGGACTAAACGTAACATCGCAGTGTGATCAACACAGACAAAAATTCCAACTGTCAGTGCAGGGGTAAAAAAGGCCAAAGCAAAGTTTTGAACCCTCCAATAAATGAAAAGAACAAGAAAATCGTTATTCTAAAGATCATTGATGTGGCAATTTGAATGTTGAATGAAACTGACAACAATATTTGACGATAGGAAAGAATAACAAAATAAAATTGGAGGCTTCCTCGGGCGAAAGTTAATCATTTGACTTCATTGACGATTCCCCCTTTTACCTTGATTTTCCCCTCATCTAATTTATTCAGGAACGTGTACCATCGTATTGAATACTCACAAATTCCATCGCCAGATTGTGGCATTGTTGTCACGTTGTTGTGCAACTTGCGGGAAGTTGTCAGCAGGAATGTGCAGAATTAATCTTCGGGAAAATGTTGCGAAAACGTCGTCGGAAGGACTCGTGTGTGGAAACGTTGATTACTGATTTGTTTACATAAAGATCTTACCAAAGAGAGCTTCCATTGATTCCAGAAATGGACCGTGATACATTTTTGGCAATTATTAATAGAGCATTTTTGATACTCAATTTATCGCTAGGAAACGAAGCGCAGGGGATCAAAAATATAAAAAACGCAGGGGAAATTCAAAGAAATGTTCAAAGCATCATGTCTCAGATTTTTTCTTAGTTAGAAAAGTAAACATAGGAAGAAAATGTGTCAAAGTAAATTGGAGGAAAATGGGCCTTGGAAGGATAAGGTATAAGTAAGCTGATTCTGTTTAAACCCTCCAAGTATGAAGGGTTCTAAATCCTCGCATGGATTCGTAGTTTTTCGAAATTTTAATAGTTGTCCTTTTTCTGGAGACTCCCGAGGTAGACTGATGTTGTTTGGTATTTATGACTCACGGATGGGGAAGGATATCCTGGAAATAAGGGCTGAAGGAGCAGATACACCTGCGAGCTAGACGCGCGTCTTGAGCGGAGAGTAGGCCCTCGGCCGTGCTCGGCAATCTTCGTAGCCAATCAGGTTGCAACTCGCCGCCCGTAACTTACTCAGAGTAATGTCCGTGAACTTGGCCCCCCGACCCCCCCAGAAATGAAAAAATGCATCGTCAGGAAATTGCTCACCTTTTGCTCAGGTAGAAAAACCACTTTTTTGCAATTGCTCACCCTCCCCTCCCCCCAAATTTCATTTCAAAATTCCCCATGGACCCCCAAAAATGCCAGCCCCCCGACATCGTCCGATCGACTTCAAACCGGTGTCAAACAATTGCTCTTGAATTGCTCAGAATTGCTCACCAAAAATTAGGAATTGCTCACCCTCCCTTCCCCCCCAAAATCCAATTCGAAATTCACCTTATGGACCCCCTAAAAATGCCAGCCCCCCGACATCGTCCGATCGACTTCAAACCGGTGTCAAA